TTTTATCCTTCATTTGACAAAATATTGACCGGATCAAAGCAAAATAAACTGCATTTCGATGTGTTTCTTTCGTAATGGTCGGTACTAAAAACAACTGTCCCCAGATACCTTAAGCATGATCCTATTTGATGGTACTTCCCAAAATGTAGGGGATTTTTTTTCTACAAGTTTGGATATTCTGAGTTTGTCCTTATGGTGTTGTAATGAAATCTGCTAGTACAGATTGTTTAATTGACTGCAAACTTTATCATGCATCACCTAAAGATTGATTGATAAAATAATCATGCAACATGTTGTTAATTATATTATTAAATTAAGTAATCCTTATGGTGCCCTAATGAAATCTGCTAGTAAATGTTCAATATTGACTTTATCATGCATCACCTAAAGATTGATTTGATAAAATAATCATGCAACGTGTAATATTGCTAATTATATATATATTAAATTAAGTAATTATTATTAATTGTATAGTTGTAATTACTGCATATGTACAGCGTATCTTTATTATTACTATTTTCACTCATTATAGTTTGTATAATGACTTGTAATGATGAATATTATTCTAGTACAGGTGATTTTAACTCACCGTTTGTTCAGAGACTTGATACATACATTGTATAATGAGTTTTATGAGGGATCTTATTCCAATTGTTGATTGTTGCCAGGAGACCATTACGTTATGAAACTCTGTTTTTACCTTAATTGACCACATTTGCGCATTAGAGAACCAGCTTACACACTCTCTTATTTTAGCGTCAATTCTTTTTTCAGCTAAAGTTCCAGAAGATGAAACGATYGTCAGATCTCACCAGTTTTCAGTCCATTCCTACAAATCGCCTTCGTTTTGTGACTTCTGTGGCCAGATGTTGTTTGGGCTTGTGCGACAGGGTGTGAAGTGTGATGGTAAGGCATGTCACAGTTGTACTGTATACCATACATGAAAAAGTGATTTTTTTTCTAACCAACTAGGGGGAGATTACGCTTCGCGTTTTGACACCGGAAACGTACATGTATGCGAAGGAGACTAACGAGATTTGGTAAAAAAGGTATTGGAGAAATTCACWCCGTGACTGCCTTAATTAAAAGGCTTACAACGAAAGAAATTTGAAGTTTTAACAACATATTTTGACATCAAAACATACGTAAACAAATTAAATTTGGCAAATTTAGAAGTGTGTATTGTAGTTTTATTTGGTCATTGCTTTATTTATTCATTCTTTATTTGTTTATTCATTTGGTCAAGTTGGTTTTGACATATTATGATCGTTTTAATTATCTATAAAGGTACAAAATGTACATGTACTTTTAATAGTCTAGCAGCATTTCATTTTTAATGTATGATGAGTACTGATACAGAACTCCATAAAAAAGATCTTTTACTACTACTACTAATAAAAATTGGAAACTTTGTAATTAGGTTTTAATGTCAAAACATGTTGACGAAACTTCTAATTTCTTTTGTTGTAAGCCTTTGAATTTAGGCTGTCACTGTGTGAATTTCTAACATTTTTACCAAATCTTGTGGGTTAGAAAAAAAAAGGTTTAAGACAACATCAAGAATATATGCTCATATGTACATGTAAATACAATGATGCATGAAGAGGACAAAAAGAGAATGGCAAAAGCGCCACGCCTAAATGAATACAAATCACCTCAATACGACAACTTCTGCACATTTATCAAYACAGAAACTGGAATTTTGTACCGCAAATATTAAGATCCTTGATTGACTCAAGCCTTACTGCATTCAATTCCTTAAGTTTTGTATTTATTCATTCCTATTTTGTTTGCACTTTATACTATTTATTTATTCATTTCATTCATTAAATTTTTTTCAGGTTGCGGTGGCAATTATCACAAACGTTGTGCCTACAAAATAAGCCATAATTGCTCCGACTCRAAGCACCGTGCYTCRTCTRCACAGTACAACACACTACCAAAGAACCTCACKGCAATGGACTTGCACTCAACCAACATGCTTCAACCAACTAACTCGTGGAACGGAGGTCAAAATAGAAATAGGCGTAACACTTGGAGCTACGATAAACCGATAAGCTGGGAAAAGACTGGACGAATACATGTACCGCATACATTTGCAATGCATACCTACAAAAGACCTACTCATTGCCAAATCTGTAAAAAGATGGTAAGAAWTACTTCTGGTAGTCATGTATACAATATATGTTTACTTTAAACTGGTCCTTTAATTTTAGCGATGAAATGTTGGGAGTACCTGGGGCTTATATAGTTATTGTACTATATAAGATGTGCAAGTGCAAATGGATTCAACATTTGTTTTAGCATTTGTTTAACAGCAGTTTTAAATGTTTGCTCGGGGCTTTCAACATTCATTCATGCCTTGCTAGACTTCTACAATTACTAGCAATTAATAATATAAACATTTCTTATGCAAGTTTTGTGTTTCTTCAGTTTTATGTTTCTTGGTTACCGGTAGATTCATGTTGATATTTTTCATGTTCTTGTCTTGTAGTTAAAAGGAATCTTTAGACAAGGTTTTCAGTGTAAAGGTAAATAACTTAATATGTAATGTAGATATTTGTAATGCATTGGCTTCATATTACATGGTGAAGTTGACTCTTTCCTAAATACACGTAACTATTATGATACAGCCTTTTGCACAAATTATGAGACATTTTTATATATATAAATATACCTAACCAAATATCAAAAACACCCAAGAAATTAAGGGATACCGTCGCTGATATTTTGTCTGTAACAACCTGATGCTAGGCAATCATGACAAAATATAATAGAGATATACCATAATTTCTGGGGTGTTTTTGATATTTGGTTACGTATATTTATATATATAAAAATGTCTCATAATTTGTGCAAAAGGCTGTATTATTGATCAAATAGTAAATATACATATATCTTGTATGAATTTTAAGTTGGTTTGTTGTTGTGCATAGATTGTAAATTCAACTGCCATAAGAAGTGTTCAGAACAAGCACCAAAAAACTGTTTAGGAGAGATGCTTATGTATGAAACAGGTTAGCTATCTTGAATTGATTATGCTGACTATRTTGTAGATAATTGCCATAAATCCGGAGAATGTGAAGGATTTCCAGGTGTTTCAGAACTCCCCTTCCAYGGTATACAAGGTCTTTAMAACWTGGGAATTAATWAKTTYGCCTAATCAAMTAGTATGGATCCAAAAAATAGTTATACAATTTCTGCAAATTTGCAGTCACTTGCCATCTCACAGTCTTGATTTAATGCAACAAAAAAGCCAGAACCCCCACTCCCCTCCCATCCCCTCTCATGAAATACCATATAACACTGTTTCTCCTTCTAGGCTCAGTGGCTTCATATGATTCTGGCAGCATCTCAGAAACGTTATCAGAGATGGATCTCACWGATGAAATGCAGGATGAACACTCTATTGATGAAAATGAGCCTCGAAATACGTACACTCTTGAGGAGTATGAAGCAGAGCCGCCAAGTCCGTCCTCATCTGATTGTGAATTAAGCCCAAGTAGTACCTATATACCATTACAACGAGTKGTTGTGTCCGTGAAGCACACTAAGAGAAAAGGRTCYAAGATCTTGAAGCAAGGCTGGATGGTTCATTTTACTAATAAAGATATGAAAGTAAGTGACATTCAGCCTTCTCCRGTGTTGGYACTYTTCTTAGTTTTCCTCTTGGCATGGGTTTCCTGTGTATGCAATGGCAGAGAAAGGACTGAGAAATGGAAAAGAAGAAAAAAGAAGCCTTTCTCGTTAAATGATTGAAACCCAATCTAATCAATCTTTCATTCATTCARCCTTAGAATTTTTATCAGTAAATTTTATAAATTTATTAAGTAATTTGTGTGTTTGTTTKTTTTCTTCATAAGCTGAAGYTTTGTCSTCATTTAGCTTTTATTAATTTCACTCATTTCTTTTGCAAATATGCAAAATAATGTATTTGTCTTTTTCTTTCAATTGCAGAGGAAACGRCACTACTGGCGTTTAGACACAAAATGTTTGACATTATTCAATGATGCTGACAGCAATAGATATTATAAAGTAAGTAAAACTKAAGTAGACTTAATTTCTTTTATTTTACTTCTTATTTACTTTTAATTTATTGACCATTTTTTTCGTAGGAAATTCCATTATCAGAGATTCTATCAGTTGAATCTAATATAGACCCCCTTGCWACTGARGCAACACGTTCACCTCACTGTGCTGAGATGAAARCTCGAGATATGATTTATTACATTGGGCTAGAAGATGATGAGCTTGTCTCACCAGACCCTGACAGCGGAATAGGAACTGCACTGGGTCAGACATGGGCTGATACTATCCGTTCAGCGCTGATGCCTGGATGTGTCACGCCCACTACAAGCTTAGCTAATATGAAGTCAATAACTAGTTGTAAGTGGATTATGTCATTCGTTACCTTTTGCTTAATTCAATTCCTGTAAGCTCAGACCMAAATTTGATTTGCGGAATCATTAGCTTCAAAAAGCATTCATTAGCCCTTTTCGCGGTTAGAAGACAAGTTGCGC